GATATATCAAAGAAAGTTTAGGTTATATCAAAGAAAGTAACTTTGGTGATCCAAGAGAAACACTGTCCCATTTTGAATTGTATTAGAGAACACAGAGAAAAATGGATCTACCATACCCACCAGGAGAAAGAACAAGAAAATGTCCTCAGGCTTTACCTCAGAACAGAGGAGGAAGAATGGGGCAGAAGAGTTTAAAAGAAGAAACTGCCAGTTTGGACAATTAGCACCAGCTCTTCAGGGACTTCTGCTATGAGAAAAACATAGGACCATGACAAATATGCAGCCAACTCCACTGCCTTTGTAGTCAGTGGCTAGAACCAGAGAGGAGCACTAAAGCTGAGTTACTAGACTTCCTGATCCTGGAGCACTTCCTGGCCATCCTGCCCACAAAGATGAAGTACTGGATCAAGGAATGTGGAGCAGAGACTAGTTCAAAGGCAGTAGCCCTAGCAGAAGACTTCCTCCTGAGTCAAGCAGAAGGAAAAAAAAAACTACAGGTGAGAAAATTTCATCCTGACAGGTAGAATACATAATAAATATACCTGAACATCTAAATGTCTTACTGCTAGATTGTTTTGGAATTAATAATATGAAAATGATATATAATTAACACTGTAGGTCAATTCCACTGTCATTTTCAGAAGTCATATATGAAGCAAGTTGTTCTAATTCTGCCTTATGTTACCAAACACATTGGGATGTTAATGTAATGACACAGGAGGATAAACATATTGGGGTGTGAATCTACTTCTCTCAGTTTCCTTAACTCCTTTTGTTATTTGATCTTAGATGGATTTACAGGCCCAGCAGCCCTTCATTGAAAGCTCCAAGGCTATAGGGCATTCTGCACAGGAGCAAATCTTCAGAGGGATTTCCCAAAAAGATCAATGTCAGGACACCTTAACAGGTATAGGAAGCTTCCTTTCAAACAATGCTAAGTTTCCGTAAGAAATTCCAGCTACTTCTTATTTTCCTGTGCATAGTTCCTGCCCAGATTTTAATAATACTCTCAAAAGGTTTGCTTCCACCAATTTTGTCCCCCTCATAGGGAACAGAACAATGTCACTGGTATTCATAGAATCATCTCCTCTTTGTGATAGAGCGGAAACAATGCCTGTGCTTCCAAGACCAGTGGAAGTGGGGGAACATCATAAAAGATGCAGGAAATTTTGGAAGCCGCCTCTTTTGTAACTGAGCTCTAGCTGCACTATGTTCCTTAACAACAGAGGATTCTGTCCCCCACCCCCCAAAGAGTTCAGAATCTTCTTTGTACCTCTGGTGATCTCCAGCAACTAATTTGAAGACAAAATCCTCTAAGAAACAATGATAAAATTAGCAATCACATAGTAAGAATTAGAAGCAAGGAATTACATTTTCTATATTAAATTGGAAGATTAGTATCTCATCTTTCAAAAGCATTGAATGATATTGTGCAGGACTGTTCACAACGAGACAGATAGTCATATCAGCTAATTAAAAAGAAGTCATGTAAAGAAAGGCAAACTTAGATATAAATATAAAGGCTCTGCTTATAGTCACTCATGGCCTGGTCATCTCCCGGGTGGACTACTGAAATGCATTCTATATGGGGCTGCCCTTGAAGAGTATCCAAAAGCTTCAGCTGGTATAGAATGCGGTGACATGGGCAGTTATGTGTGCCCCTACAGGGGCACACATTACACCTCTGCTCCACGACCTGCATTGGTTGCCAGTTTCCTTCCAGGTCTAATTCAAGGTGCTGGTTCTGACCTTTAAAGCCCTTCCCAATGGGGCCAGATTATTTGAGGGACTGCCTCTTCCCAATTACATCTGCCCATCCCATCAGGTCTGGCAGAAGAGGTATGTTGCAGGTCCCATCTGCTAAGGAGTTACTTCTGACAGGAGCCAGGAGACAAGCCTTTTCTGCCACGTTACCCGCCCTGTGGAACATCATCCCTCCAAAGTGAGATTGGCCACATCTCTGCTGACCTTCTGGAAGTCCCTTACAGTCCCTCTGGTTGTGTCAACAGGTCTGGGGGTCGCAAGGGAACAGTAATCTGATGAGGTGGTGCCATTGTTCATAATTTGATGCTCTCTCTTAGTCTTTTCATAATAATAATTTTTGTACTTTTTGAGTGTTTTTAAAATGGTTTTGATGGCTGTTTGTAAGCCACCCAGAGTCATGTCACATGAGATGGACAGCCATATTGATAAATAGATAGATAGATAGATAGATAGATAGATAGATAGATAGATAGATAGAT